ACACTTGCTTTGCTTGGTAAGCTTATATATCACGATACTGAAACGTGGTAAAAATTCTTTTTAGCATGTTGTGCTAGTTATGATAGACAAGACATTCCCGCTAAAAACACGAATGTTTAGAAATATCCTCCGTACTCTCGCATTAGAATGATATTTAGACATATCTGTACTGAGCGAAATTCGGCGAGATTTTCGTGTCTGTATATATTTAAAATTTTGGCATGCGAGTTGACTTGTCAATTGTCTGATATAGCTATCAAATATAGCATATCAGTCAATACTTGGGGATGTACAAGTTCTACTTTAAAAATGATAAGGAGAATACACCAATAACTATTGGTATGTACTCCTCGTTGAATCATATGAGTGTATTTGTAGAGCACTTCATATATCTCTAAATTTTGACTGATATGCTTGATAAATTTGTGAAATTATAAAGATCCAAACACTTAATTTACATAAAAGCTTGGGAAGCGCAAACAGTCACAAGTTAATTCTCGTGGTAAAATTAAGTATAAGCGGACACAAAAATCTCGTTAAAATGCATTCAAGATATATTACTATAAAAACAACATATTCATTTTGATTACCATATATGTGTCATTATCAATTTTAAAATTGTCAAATTACGCTTAATTTCAACTTTTGGTAATCGTAACATCAATTTGATTAAAACTGACTAGACTTTATTTAATTGGTTTTTAATTCAACTACCAGAAATTGCTCGTGATTTTTTAAGGATGTAGTATGACATATTATCACTGTTCTAAAATAATTTGTCATTGAAAATTTAACAATTGTGACATACTCTTTCATTTCGATGGGTTGTTCATGAATATATTTTATAAATGTGGGTGAAATATTTTTAGTTATATGAAAAGAGTTAATAAAAATAATGTTGGTTGAGTCTTTGGGCTTTGGGCTTAGATTAATTAGATGAATAAGAGCAAAATAGCTATCAATGTTTTCTTGATATTTATTAAATTGTTTAAATTTTTTGCTTGACGGAAAATTTTTATATTATATACTAAAGTACTAATATACTTTAAGTATATCCTTTTTTTTTTTTAAGGCAAGTCCTTAAGTAGTTCTATGAATATGATTTAATGTTTGATCAACTCGCTATAACACTTGCTTTGCTTGGTAGCTTATATATCACGATACTGAAACGTGGTAAAAATTCTTTTTAGCATGTTGTGCTAGTTATTGTAGACAAGACATACTCGCTAAAACCACGAATGTTTGGAAATATCCTCCTTACTCACGCATTAGAATGATATTTAGACATATCTGTACTGAGTGAAATTCGGCGAGATTTTCGTGTCTGTATATATTTAAACTTTTGGTATGCGAGTTGACTTGTCAATTGTCTAAAATGCTACCAAGAAAATTATGTAAATTACTTCTTCAAATTTTTATAAAGTCACATGTAATATTATAGCTATCAAATATAGCATATCAGTCAATACTTGGGGATGTACATGTTCTACTTTACAAATGATAAGGAGAATACACCAATAGCTATTGGTATGTACTCCTCGTTGAATCATATGAGTGTATTTGTAGAGCACTTCATATATCTCTTAATTTTGACTGATATGCTTGATAAATTTGTGAAATTATAAAGATCCAAACACTTAATTTACATAATAGCTTGGGAAGCGCAAACAGTCACAAGTTAATTCACGTGGTAAAATTAAGTATAATCGGACACAAAAATCTCGTTAAAATGCATTCAAGATATATTACTATAAAAACAACATATTCATTTTGATTACCATATATGTGTCATTATCAATTTAAAATTGTCAATTTACACTTAATTTCAACTTATGGTAATCGTAACATCAATTTGATTAAAACTAACTATACTTTATTTCATTGGTTTTTAATTCAACTACCAGAAATTACTTCTGCTTTTTTATGGATGTAGTATGACATATTATCACTGTTTTCAAATAATTTGTCATTGAAAAATTAACAATTGTGACATACTCATTCATTTCGATGGGTTGTTCATGATTATATTTTATAAATGTGGGTGAAATATTTTTATTTATATGAAAAAAGTTAATAAAAATAATGTTGGTTGAGTCTTTGGGCTTTGGGCTGAGATTAATTAGATGAATAAGAGCAAAATAGCTATCAATGTTTTCTTGAAATTTATTAAATTGTTTAAATTTTTTGCTTGACAGAAATTTTTTATATTATATACTAAAGTACTAATATACTCTAAGTATATCCTTTTTTTTTTGTTGTATTAGGCAAGTCCTAAGTAGTTCCATGAGTATGATTTAATATTTGATCAACTCGCTATAACACTTGCTTTGCTTGGTAAGCTTATATATCATGATATTGAAACGTCGTAAAAATTTTTTTTTAGCATGTTGTGCTAGTTATGATAGACAAGACATACCCGCTGAAAACACGAATGTTTGGAAATTCCTCCGTACTCTCGCATTATAATGATATTTAGACATATCCGCACTGAGTAAAATTCGGCGAGATTTTCGTGTCTGTATATATTTAAAATTTTGGCATGCGAGTGTACTCTTCAATTGTCTAAATGCTACCAAGAAAATTATGTAAATTACTTATTCAAATTTTTATAAAGTCACATGTAATATAGCTAACAAATATAGCATATCAGTCAAAAGTTGGAGATGTACAAGTTTCTACTTTACAAATGATAAGGAGAATACACCAATAGCTAAAGTTGGTGAAATCAATGCGGTAAGGGTTGAATTATACGAAGGAATGATCTTGTACACACATTGAAGATCGACAATAAATGTAACTTAACGCAAAAGAAAACAATCACCATTATCCTAATCAATGACACATATATGGTAATCAAAATGAATATGCTGTTTTTATAGTACTCCCTCTGTTCCATTTTGTTTGTAGTTTTAGGCTTTTTTTTTTTTGTTCCAATTTGTTTGTTTTTCTCACATATCTATGCACAATTTCACTTATTCCAACAATTTATATTTTTTCAGTAATTAATTTAAATCCGAAAATAATTAATAAATATTGGTCAAAGAAGTCCAAAAGTCCAAGTATAACAATGGACAAAAGCATACGTAGTCAAAACATTGTTTAATTATTTATCTAAGTAATGATTTTTAACCAAAATTAAGTTTCCTTAATAAGCGTGCTTTTAGTTAAAACTACAAACAATATGGGATAGAGGGAGTAATATATCTTGAATGCATTTTAACGAGATTTTTGTGTCCGCTTATACTTAATTTTACCACGCGAATTGACTTGTGATTGTTTGCGCTTCCCAAGCTATTATGTAAATTAAGTGTTTGGATCTTTATAATTTCACAAATTTATCAAGCATATCAGTCAAAATTTAGAAATACATGAAGTACTCTAAAAATACACTTATATGATTTAACGAGGAGTACATACCAATAGCTTAACCATCTAAAACCCCTTCGAAAATATCAGACATGTGTGTCCTAATGTTTTTACGCTTTTTCAAGAAATTTATCTTTTAGTATTTGAACCCAATTAAGAAAAAAATTCCACAACAAATATAAAACTTTTTGGTAGTAATAAAAAGGTTGTGTATATATTTTTCCTTTCCTTGCAAGTCTAAAACACTCATATATCTATTTGTTTGGCATATTTCTATTCTGAATATAAGAGGGAAAGAAATGGTAGATGCATGAACCTTTGATATGATATCCAATATCACTTTTTCTTTACTCTATAGTTGAAACTTCCATATCATTTAGTAACGACAGCATCAATTCCATTAAAAAATAATTTCAATACAAGAATATAAAATAACTAAGGGGTTAATTAGCAAGCACTTTTAAGACTTTAAAATATTTTAAAAGTCCTAACAGTTTATTTTCCCAATCATGCTTTTTCAGCTTTAAATAATTTTAAACCCTTCATAGCATTCTCTTTTTTTTTTTACTCTTTGTTTTGAGTTTTTTTTTTTTTTTTTATAAGTCAGGTAAACATGACTTTAGAAATTAAAAAAAAAACAAAAACAAAATTTTTTTATCTTTCTTATTATCCAAATGTATAATTTCTAAAATTTATTTATGAATTAATTAAAATAGAGTTCAAATTAATAGACAAGTCATTTTTTCCGTTATTTTAAGATCTATTTTTCTATATGAAAGAGAACAAACAAAATATTAAACTTGATGTCAATATGAAAAAATATGATAAACATGCAATATTTATACATAAATTCGTTGTTATATCATTGTCTTAATTTAAATTTGCTATAATTTAAATTATTTAAAGTCACAGCTTTTACATATATAATCTTTACCAATCAATCATAAATTTTCTACAGTAAACAACCAACATCTCTGTAGTCAAAGTCTTTAAAGCCAAAGGTAACAGTCGTTATCAATCAACTTGTAAATAAAGTTGATTTTCTGTATTTCATTGCCACAAGATCATCCATCTAAAAATATGAAGAATATATATATATATATGTTTGACTATATGTATATAATTCAATAATTTAGAAAATTCACAAATAACAAAAAAAATAAAAACAATAGTCTTATTTCTGAATTTATTTTCTTACTAGATTATTGAAATTATTATCAATTTTTAAAATTGGTGAAATGATTATCAAGTACCATTATAGGAAAAAAATATGGTCTGAATACACGTGTTTTTTTTTTTTTTTCATTTTTTTGCCAACATGGTCCATTGGCCTTTTTATGATATGGAGTGGAACTCCAACGTACGAGGTGCCGTACAAAGGACTAAACCACGTAGTTATGAGAGACCTCGGCGAATAAATGTTCTTTTTAAAATTCAAATTTTACTCGGTTAAAGTTTTTTTCTGAGAAATGTAAAAAACCGTTGAGAATATTATATGTAATTCATATAGTAATACAAAAATATTGTAATTATTTGCAACCGTCCAAACAAAAACAAACCAAACTTGAAAGTAGTGGACACTAGTGAAAGAGGTCAATAGATAGTAATTGCTTTCCGTTTCTTCTCTTAATTCACATCTCTCACGTAGTTTCTCCTTAGTTCTTTATATACTAAAACCAATCGGTAACTTCAAGGTATAATAAACGATACACTAAATATATAAAAACACAAAAATATATATCCCTTCATAGTTAATCTAAGAGAACAAAGAGATGCAGGTTGAGATTGAAGAGAAGTTTGAAGATTGGAGAGGTAGAGAGGCAATTTCTGGCAAACATGGTGGGATTAAAGCTGCTTTCATTGCTTGTGGTAACTTTCTAAAACTAAAAAAAAAAAAAACCATTTAACAATTACTAATATCATTATATATTCATGAGTTTGGTGTGGTCTAATGGATAGTTGTGGAGACGATGGAGAATATGGTGTTCTTAGCATATTCAACCAACTTCATGATGTACTTTACAAAATCAATGAATTACTCATCACCCAAAGCAGCAACCATGGTAACTAATTTCATAGGAACATCCTTTTTGCTCACTATTTTCGGTGGTTTTGTTGCGGACTCTTTTCTCACTCGCTTCGCCTCTTTCGTCCTCTTTGGTTTCATTGAACTCCTGGTAATTAAAAAAAGCTCTATTTTTAAATCATGTTTAACAGTCCTTTTTTTTTTAAATAGAAAAAGTTTACTCTTTTCTTTGATAGGGTTTGATCTTGTTGACACTCCAAGCTCATATCACTAAGTTACAACCTCAAGGAGGTAAAAAACCTTCGACTCTTCAATCAACGGTTCTATTCACCGGACTTTATGCAATAGCTATTGGTGTTGGAGGTGTCAAGGGGTCGTTGCCTGCTCATGGAGGCGACCAGCTTGGTACTAGAAACCAGAGGCTGATCTCAGGATTCTTCAATTGGTATTTCTTCTCTGTCTGCCTTGGAGGTTTCTTGGCCGTAACCCTTATGGTTTGGATCGAGGAGAACAAAGGATGGAGCTCAAGCTTCAATATTTCTACCGCGGTTTTAGCCTCTGCGATCTTCATTTTCGTTGTGGGATGCCCGATGTATCGATTCAAGCGTCCAGCAGGAAGTCCTCTGACCAGAATTGTGAATGTGTTTGCTTCTGCCACAAGAAACCGAAATAGGTTTGTAACGGATGCAGAGGTGACACAGAATCATACCTCTACCGACAAAAGCATTCATCACAACAAGTTCAAGTAATTACTCTAAACACATCTTTTTCTTGTTTTGTTCTTTTTCTCCACGAGTATCAGGAACGGCCTTGAGAAGTGGCACAACCATAGTTTGGGGCCTTATAAATCGTTCCTTTATAATTAACAAAAGAAACATATATTAACATCAAAAATAAAGGATTTGTGGATTTTGATACACTTGTGTTTTTTTTTTAAAAATATTTACAATTCGTATATTGATTGAAAATTAGACTATTTAAGTTTGATAAACGACTTTTGTTATATAGTAAAGAACTGAATATTTTCCGAAGCCCATAGATTGTGGTTAATATATTTTTAAAAGCTAATTTTTATTTATTATCTATGTGATATTCGAAGTCGTTATAACATGTATTAATGTATATACTATTACTAATGATTAATGACTAATTTAGTGAAAATAGAGCCTAGTTTTTTATTTAGTTTTTGGGATCGGTATTTAATTATCATGTAAACTATAATTTACAGGTTTTTGAATAAAGCAAAGCTCAACAACAAGATCTCTGCAACACAAGTTGAAGAAACAAGAACGTTTCTAGCTCTTCTACCAATATTTGCGAGCACAATTGTAATGAACTGTTGCGTCGCACAAATGGGAACCTTCTCCGTTCAACAAGGCATGGTGACAAACAGAAAGCTCTCGCGTTCCTTTGAGATCCCCGTGGCTTCCCTCAATGCCATTCCTCTACTGTGCATGCTCTCTTCTTTAGCTTTATTCGAGCTTTTCGGCAAAAGGATCATATCCAATAGCGAAAGATCGTCCAGCTTCAATTTGAAACGTATAGGATCCGGTTTAGCTCTCACTTCTGTTTCAATGGCGGTTGCATCCATGGTAGAGGTCAAGAGAAAACATGAAGCGGTTCACAACAACATCAAAATTTCTGTGTTCTGGTTAGAGCTTCAATTTGTTTTGTTGAGTTTCTCGGATATGTTGACTGTTGGAGGAATGTTAGAGTTCTTCTTTAGGGAATCTCCAGCGAGTATGAGGAGCATGAGCACCGCGTTAGGGTGGTGCTCCACCGCAATGGGTTTCTTCCTCAGCTCGGTTCTTGTTGAGGTCGTTAATGGCATCACGGGATGGCTCCGCGATGATCTTAATGAGTCGAGGCTCGAACTGTTTTATGTGGTTTTATGTGTTCTTAATACCCTTAATCTTTTTAATTATATTTTCTGGGCGAAAAGATATTAGGCAAAAGAACAAAGTATGTTGTCTTGTCTATAGAGAACTCCTTAATTTAGGTAAGTTGCTATGCATGTAGTGGAAGTCTAAACCAAGTAATTAAGTTGCGTAATGGTTTTTTTTGTGTGTGGTGGTTTTCAAGTTGGTTGATGTGTCATGTAATAATGGGAAGAAATAGTTACTACCCCATTTAAGTTTCATAATTTGTGATTCTACCAAAATTAAGAAAGTGTGAAAGTGACATTTTCTAATTAGAACAGAGATCAAAATTTCCGTTTATGATTACTGAATTACTAATCATAAAAACAGAATAAAAACAGATTTAATTACGATCGCATCATAATAATTTTCTTAAATCCTGACCTTTTATTTATAATAGTAAACATGAAAGCGTAAACGGCATATGCCAGGGCCAGTCCCGAGTGCAGCCAAATGAAAAACAATCGTAGGGGCTCCAAATTTTGTTTCGTATTTGACCCCAATATTCTCAGGACCGGCTAATGATATCGCCACTTCTCATGTACATCACCACACAACATGTAATAGGTTCGATGAAACTGAAAATATCCTCCTCTAACCAGTAATCTAATCATTTTCTTATAACCACCGTAATTTATCAAATTAGTTTCGATATATTAGTACTTAATCAAATTCATTTTTCAATGTCATATATTACAATTAGTGTGTCCTAATGAGGTTGGTATAATACTTTTGAAATCAAAAACATAATTATGTTCGCATGTGGATATAAATAAAACTTCTAATAATAAACATACAATAATAATAATAAAAAAACCTTTTATTATCATAAAAACATATCTTAGCAAAATCACATATTCTAAACATGTCTTTGCATTATTTGAGATTTTTTTGTTAAAAAAAAAAAAAAAAAAAAAGACTTAACGGCAAGGATGACGACATTGACATTGAAAAGGTCCTCCCGGGGTTGAAGGTGCGCAAATAAATTTTCCTTTTGGATTTTAGAATTTGACAATTCTAAAATAAAGAATATTTGGTACAAATTTATATAACATAGTTATTGATATTTTAAAGAATTAATATAGTATTCCAAACTTGTTTCTTTGGAAAAAAAGATATATGTAATAAATTAAGACAATACAAACCTAGTACAACAATTGTGAAGACAATAAGAATGGTAAACGAGAGTTGACAGGATTTGCTCATCCTAGATGATAGAAAATGAATTGATAGTGCTTTGAAAGTTATAAAAAAACAATTTTAGTTATATATATATATATATATATATATATATATATATATATATATATATAAAATAAATTATATGTATCTCACATTCAAACACATATATCTATTTTAAGATATGTACCATTTTATACTCCGAATTAAAAGATCTACTTTGACTCGGATTCATGTTTTTTTGCTTATAGAATAAGTAAAAGCGTTAAACTCTTATTTATTTATTTTAACTAAAAGGTTATAAGCCAAGAAGCTCGATCCATGCATCTTTTCATGTCATAATACATAACACGCGATATTATTTATCATCGAAAAGTTGAAGCAATACGAAAAATAACAACTTCGTATTAAAAAGAAATGTAGAAAAGGAACATAAAAATTAATTTTAAAATAATAAACTATAATTATTTTTGAAAATAGGTGTAAGAAGTTTAATATATATATATTAATTCGTAAGATAAGGTAACTCAATATGAATTTAAAATATTATTTTAATCTAATAGTTGAGAAGATAATATTATGTAAATTAAGGTATCTATAGATTTGTATTTCTTAAAATATGTTTAAGAGATATTTAATAAATAATTCTAAGAAATCTTACTAAAGTAAGGTCCATGTTACACCAAATTAATAGGTATTTTCAATTAAATTTTAAATTTTAATTGTTTGTGTATATTTAAGTATTTATATTTTATTTTTTTCTTTATTTACTATATCTACAATAATATGGATATATATATATATTAATTCAAAACACGATTGGTGACATTAGATCAGATGGGTACATCTAGTTAGTACTAAATAAGAGACAAAAGCAATATGGAGAAAGTTCAACAAAAGTTAATGCAGACCATAATAAATGAACCAAGGTTATAGTTTTAAATATAAAATTGTCAATACACGTTTGATAAAGAAAAGAAACATTGTTTGGGGTGATTTTCAGGATTGCTTACGCGTCCAACTTCGAAAATTGTATAGTATGTGCCAGTTCAAATTCTGGAGAGTATGACAGATTCTGCAAAACAATTACAGGCAGATTATCTTGGGATGACAGAAAGGAGTGTTTTTACCAAAAAAAAAAGAGTGTTATGAGTCTCTTGTGCTCGGTCCACTCGTGGGTATTTAGCTCTACTCAGGCCCGGCCCGTCCATAAAGCAGGTGAAGCACCTGCTTTAAGCCACAACATATAAGTAAAATTTGAAAGGCCACATTGCTAAATTTATCAGTTTCGTCTAGTGGTAAGAATGCCCATTTTTAGATCCAAGGTCCTAGGTTCAAGCCTTCACGTCCACTTTATTTGTTTTTCTTTTCTTCCTGGCATTCTTTTCATATTTTTTTCCTACTTTCTCATCTAATTTTGTAACTATTAAGTGTTTTTTTTTTCCCAAACCAAACTAACAACTAATAAAGTGAAATTTAAAAAAGATTATTTTACTTTATTAAAATATTTAATGAAAACATTGACTATATGTCTATATTTAATAAAAAATTATAGTATGTATTTCTAATACTTTAATATATTTTTTCTGTTCATAATATTTAAAGTATAAGAATATCACATTTTTAATTGTGCTTTAGGCCACTAAAAGCTTAGGACCGGCCCTGGCTCTACTACTCTTATGCTTCGTAGAGCCTATTTAGCTCTTTATCATTACAAGATGACAAGATTAGTGGCCTAATCATGCATGTTCGTAGCATGTAGTTAATGTTTTATGTAGGTAACAAATGAGGTTAGTAAACAACCCACATGCTTTGCGTTTAATGTTTTTAGGTGGTTCAGTGTATTAAATGTTTAGCAAGGGTATATAAAGATGAAGTGACCACTCCCTACTCCTGGGCACACCAATTCTCCTCGGCATGGGCTGGTCTCGGGTGTAAGTGATAGGTCTCCCAAAAGTTGCCACCGACACTTAAGCTTTGGAATTCTAAAGGTAGAGAGTCTCTTTAGATATATGTGATGCGTGATAAAACAAAATCACACATATCGTAAACATTGTGAGGTATATTATCCACTGAGTCGGATACATTGTTTGTTTGTCAGGTATATTATCCACTGAGTCGGATACATTGTGATATTATCCCAGGTACCCGGCTACAAGGTAGGAGTTCATATCTAAAACTTTTGATACACATATCCTGGGATGCATTGCCTTTCTAGGGTTGTGACTCGAGCTTTCTTTTCGGAGTCGTGGACAGGACTACCAGAGAGGGATGACATGCACTAGATTTTTTTACTCCTAAGGTCTTGTGGTGCACCTTTGGTGGGTCGAAAACATTTTCTGGAGGCGTTTTTGACTACCATCATTCCCGTGTGCAACATAATGTGCAATCTCCTAGAAGGCGTGTCCAGTGGATTTACCCCGAAAAGTTCTGGTGGGTATGAGATTGAGACATGAATACGTCGTTAATTAGAGTGGTGCTTCGGTGTGATGGATTTCTTTCTCAGCATGGTTCTTGATGAGGTAATCAATGGCGTCACTGGCAAAAGATAAAGTATGTTGCTGTTTAATAGAAAACTTGTAAATTTAATGAATATGCATGCAGAGGAAGTCTAAATCAAATAATTTACGAAATGGATTTTTGCGGTGGTTCACAAGTTGGTTGATGTCATGTTATAATTTTGGGAGGAGGGTATAGTAACTACCCCATTCAAGTTTAATAATTTGTGAGTCTACTTTAATAAAGAAAATATGAATATGACATTTTCCAACTAGAATCGAGACCGAAATTTCTCTTTTAGGTGAGTGAGATTATCACCTATTGTCATCTTTTACAAGATGGGATCCACAATTTATTTACAAAGAGTTCTAAACACTACAAGAAAAACTTACATTCTTAGCGCGGAAAAAATGCTATCATAGGTAATACATAGCGAAATAACAACTGCTATGATTGCGGCAGCTATGGTAGATACCCCACCTACAATAGCATTAATTTTGTCTGCTATAGTATGTTCATCTACAATAGCACTTTTTTAATGTCTTTATTTATTGTTTCATAGCAATAATCGAATGCCATTACTACCTTTAATAGCATTTATTTGTTGTTATTAATTAGGTATATATTAAATATAATAATCCTTTTATATTATATATTTTGGTCAATTTTGTTTTTTTTTACGCTATTTTTTCGGAAAATATTAAAATGAAAAGACAATTAAACTTAAACAAAATATGTTTATATAATTGTTAACATTACAAACCAACAAAAGAGTTAGATCAAAGTTTTACAAAAAAAAATGGAAATAAAATTAAAATGCTCATAATTCTGTCGAGCTTCCATATATTGCTCCTGCCTAAACGAGATATCGTGGTTCCCCGGCATCATCAGCTCGTGATTTGTCATTTCATCACAGTAACAAAATATTGGCCAAAGGACTTGCTCAATGAATCCCATCATTGGCATCAAACATACTTGACCTATTACAACAAAATCGAAATCAACCACAAAGCCAAAACTCAGGATATTCATATCACTTTGAAGAAAAAGAAGAGATACAACATCTTCATCTGTATACCTGAGAATTCCTTTTAGAGGTCCTGCTGAGGCAAACCTATTAGAGGTTTTGCATCAAATATATGTGCATAGTTATTCATCAATGTCCCAGCCTGAATCTACCTGCAAACACAAATGTTCACAGTCAAAAATCACAAGAGGTGAAGGAACAAACCGTTCTCATGTTGTTGGTAGCTCGCTTGAAGTTTCCTCTTAGCAAACTGGAACTTTGCGTCTGCATCAAGAGCTTTGAGTTTCTGCCATGAACAAAAAAAGATTAAAACCGTTACTTCCCTGCTCAAGAATACGACTAAAACTCTTTGATTCCCACACTCACTTCTTGTTAAGGTCCTGGAGCTTTTCACTTCTTGCGTCTGCATATACACATGAAAACCTTAATGGCACATTTAAAAGAGTAATGAAATTGCCAAATTTCGTGTTCTTTAACGAAAGATAAAACTCATACAGGATAATAGTCTTTGCGAGTTGGCGAATCTTATCAAAACCCATGTTTCCTCAAACCATTAACAGCCTTTCCGATTTCAGTACTCTGGAAGAAGAATCTCAAAACCTTAAGATCAACAACAACAAACTTCATACACTAATCCACTAGAGACCGACCTTAAGAATATCCAAATTCAAAGACATCAATTGAAGCTTTCTCAAGGATTCGAGCAACACCGAGATTGGCTGCAAACACAAGAACAAGAAACAATCAGAATCAAGCTTCACATCAATGGAATCAACAGAGATTTTTGATTGCGATTTTAGATCAAAAACCTCATCTATAATCTATTAGCTTTGCTCTCTTTACTACCACCAGCTTCTTCATAATCTTCATCAACATCAACCCTCGTAACACCATCATCACCGGCGACTCCACATCCCAAATTAGCCTCTCCCTCTTCGTCGTCCCCAGGAATCGTAAGCTCGAGATGGTCGCATCTGATGCATCGATTCACTCTACAAGAGAAAAGAAGCTCAGAGATTTTTTCCCTTCTCGATTTAAATCTCTTAGGATAACCTGTAGCAAAAACAAGACGAAATAAAGAAGTAAAATTAGGGTTTATGACAAAATCGAAGGAAAGGGGGAAAAAGAGAGAGGGAGACTGAGAGGGATAAAGCGGCGGTCGAGAGAGAGAGATTGAAGTCGTCGACGAAGTATCTGGCACCATCTTCAACTTCGGATCTTTCAGCTCCTCTTCAACCACCTCAACCACCAGCCCCGTGAAACGTCCATCGCCGGAATCGAAGGAAGCCGACGAGCCTAGACGCAAGAAACTGTTTCTTCAACGATCTGAGGAAGAAGACGCGAATCTCATCGGATATTCGAAGATTCCGCTTCCAGTGGTGGAATTCAATCCGACGAGAATCCGATCTTCTCGCTCCAATGCAATTCCTGAAGCTGAGCTTGTGAATCCAGAAAGCTCTGCAGCCAATAAGGTGAATTGAAATTAGGGTTTGGAGATGGAGACTTGGAGAATAGAAGAGATAGAGGATTTTTTCCCTAAGTGTTAAGAGGGAAAATGAACCGCTTGTTTTTCACTTAAGCGGGCACTTAAAAGATAGGCGTGAAACCAAAAAAAAAATTTCGGCATAGCATTTATAAAATGCTATAATAAAGTATTCCAATCCGACGTAGTCTTTTTCACAGCAAAATCGAAAATCGTGCTATGCTTAAGTGCTATCAATGTAATCTTTTTTTGTAGTGAAAACAACTAGAATTTGCTACTTTGATTTTTTTTTGTTTGTGTTTCTATTCTCATGAATCCACACAAAATACCCTGAGATTCAATGCTTTTTAAGTTTATTGATAAACTTTTAGTTTCCATTACTCTCTTTCTTGCTATTTGTTTACTTATTCTATTTTTTGAAGGTTTTCTCAGATTTAGAGAAAAGCTTGAAGAAGATGATAAAAGGATTTGCTTTCTTATTCAACTTAATCCAAAAGATACATTGCTTATTGCTATATAAAGAAAAGAGTAATCACAGAGAATATGACGTGTGTCCTAGCTGCACATGATTGCTCCGGATCCCAACGCGTTAAATCTGTTATTCAGGTGTATTTCATGACGTAGCCCTTCCGTACCTTGAACACGACAAGTTCGTGGTACTCTGCTTTTGACCGTTGCAGAGACTGTGGGAATGGGCTTCTCATGGACCGAAATCTTTGAACCTTGTTGGACTTTAGTCGGCCCATCTTGTCTGTTTTGAGGCTGAGGCAAAACCTCTGTTTTAGTAAGAAGGTCCTTACTGTTAATACTCCCCCGCAAACTTGGCGTCGGTGGTGAGCAGAGACCAAGTTTGAAGCGAAGATCAAAGAAGGCTTGTTGAGGTAGAGATTTGGTGAAGACATCTGCTAGCTGATCAGTTGCAGGAATGTGCTTCACAATAAGAGCTCCAAGCGCAACCTGTTCACGGACATGATGAAAGTCCCGAGCAAAATGTTTAGACTTGGAGTGCAGGGCTGGATTTGCCGTAAGATGCACTGCTGAGAGATTGTCACAGTACATTTCAGGAGTAATAGGTTGAGCTACTCCAGTTTCACGCAACAAAGAGTTCAGCCACATTATTTCACGAGAGGCCATAGACATGGTTCTGTACTCTGCTTCCGTAGAGGAGTGAGAGACTGTGGGATGGCGCTTTGATGACCAAGATATAATGTTCTCACCAAGCAACGTGCAGAACCCACCAGTACTCCTGCTTGTGTCTTTACATCCTGACCAGTCACTATCACTGTACACTCTAAGGGTTGAATCTGTTGAGTTTGAAAGATTTATTCCCAACTGAAGTGTACCTTTAACATAGTGAATGATCCTTTTAAGCAAGTTGAAATCATCTTCTGATGGAGCATGCATCTTCTGACAAACAAAGTTGACCGCAAATTGGATGTCTGGTCTTGTCAGTGTGAGATACTGAAGTTTTCCCGCCAAACTTCTAAAGTAAGTAGGATCCGAGAAAGCTTTTGACTAATGTGAGAACTTTCCCGGTTGTAGAGGAAGTGGTGTTGGCATGGGAGCGCAATCCGCCATTCCTGCTGAGACTAGGAGGTCTCTGGCATACTTTTCTTGATTAAGAAACAAACCATTCTCATGAAAATGTGCTTGAATACCAAAGAAATAGTGAAAAGGACCCATGTCTTTCATCCGGAAGATGCTACTCAGACTCACCAGTAGCTGTTCCATGAGCTTTGTGTATTTTCCTGTTAACAACATGTCATCCACATAGAGTAATAGGTACATGATATCCGGTCCTTTGATGTAAACAAAGAGAGATGGATCAGGATAACTGCAGGTGAACCCAAACTCAAGAAGAAACAAGCTAAACTTGTCAAACCAGGCCCGAGGTGCCTGTTTTAAAGCATAAATAGCTTTCTTAAGCTTGCATATGTAGTCTGGCTTACTTGTGTCTTCAAAGCCTGGTGGTTGAACCATATACACAGTCTCTTTCAAGTCTCCATGTAGAAAGGCATTCTTAACATCTAACTGTTTGATGTTCCACTTATTGATTGTAGCATTGTGGAGTACCATTCTGATTGTAGCAGTTCGAACCACAGGGCTATATGTTTCAACAAAATCCACCTCTTCTTCTTGCTCATATCCCTTTGCTACCAATCGAGCTTTTAGTTTATCTAGAGAACCATCAGCACACAATTTAGTTTTGAAAACCCATTTGCAGCCAAGTGGTTGAATATCTTCTTCTGGTGGAACCAAATCCCAAGTTTTGGTCTCATGCATAGTGTCTACTTCTTCAGTCATAGCACCTTTCCATCCCGGATCTTTAAGAGCTGTTTTTACTGTTTTAGGCTCCGGGTAGTTACTCTTGACTGTATGCAGAGCATAACGAGGATTTGTCTTCCTTATTCCATCCTTAGCTCTCGTGATCATGGAATGATCATTGTTTGGAGCTTGATTACTTGTTGGACTTATCAGTGGAGGAAAGTCTTCTTCAGAAAATATTGAAGTAGAAGGTGATGTTGCAGGTGTTGTTGTAGAAGAGGAAGTTGCAGGTGTTGTAGAAGTTGTAGGTGTTGTAGGTGAACTTGGACAACTGTTGATCGGTGTGGTATGTATGAGCTGCAGAGACGGGCTACAGAGAGGTACAGAGACGCTGTCGCCAATAGAAGCAGCATCTAAGGCTGTCGTACGCTCAGGACATCCCTGTACCACTGTAGGTATCGGAGCAGTAGAGTCAGAATCATGTTGTTGAAGTGGAGTGGGAGTTTCTCTGGATTGAGGAGACTGAGGCAAACTCTGTTGCCACGCAGATAGGAGAGCAGAGGTAGCCGCAGGTATCAATGAAGCATACTCTTTCTGAAAAGGGAAGTGGAGTTCATTAAACAATACATGTCTGCATATGTAAACCTTACCAGTAGGAGGATAAAGGCATCTGTAGCCTTTATATTTCTCATTGTATCCTAAGAAGACACATAGGAGAGATCTTGGATCAAACTTGTTTTATGTATAGGGTCTTAAGCAGGGATAACACGCTGAACCAAAGACTCTTAAAGAGGTATAGACTGGTGGCTTACCTAGAAGCAGCTCATAAGGACTTTTATTACCTGGTAGGACTGAAGAAGGTAAGAGGTTTCCCAAGAAAGAGGCAGTGAAGAAAGCTTCCACCCACAAGTATTGAAGAACTCTACTCTGAAACATCATAGCAAGACCAAGTTCAGTGATGTGTCTATGCTTCCTCTCGGCTAAACCGTTTTGTTGTGGGGTGTATGGACAAGAAATGAGCTGTTTGATCCCACAACTTGCCAAATGAGACACAAACTTTGTGCTTGTAAATTCACCACCACCATCACACTGAAAGTTTCCAATCTTTGTCATGAAGAGATTTTCCACCAATTGTTGAAACAATATGAAGATAGAATAGAAGTCAGGCTTTAGCTTAAGAGGATAAAACCAAGTGAATCTTGAATAATTGTCAATGAAAATGACATAATAACGAAATCCCTGTGATGACACAATAGGAGATGGTCCCCATAAATCACAGTGGATGCGTTCAAGAAGTCTACTAGAGACAAAATCTGAAGCAGAAAAAGGAAGTTTACAAGTTTTCCCCAACTGGCAAGCATCACACAGACTGGAGCTTGATTTATTCATTACTATAGCTTTATTTGTAGATAACTGATGAAGAATCTCATTGTGAGGATGGCCCAGCCTTTGATGCCAAATCCCATCGGTTGTAGCTTGTTGTCTTGATGAGTAGAAAGCAACAAATTGAGGGTTTTCCAACACATAGAGGTCCTTAGTTCTATTTCCTCGTGTGAGGAGCTGTTTGGTCTGTTTGTCCTTCACAATAACACCATCAGAATCAAATGTAAAGGAACAGGGGTAATCAGATGTGAGTTTTGAGACTGACAACAATGACTTGGTTATATCCGGACACACAAGAACATTCTTTAATGGTAAAGTAGTACCTTGCATAGTAGGAAGAGCAATGGAATCAATGTGTGTGATCGGAAGGAAGTCGCCATTACCTACTATAACTCCATCATCACCTCTGTATTGTTGAGCATTCTGAAGTTGAGCCGCTAAGTTGGTAATGTGGGCTGTAGCAGCTGAGTCTGGTACCCATTCATGGCCTGAGGACTGATCTGACAGCTTCATAGTGGCCATAGCCTGATGAAAATCATCCATCTGATATGCATGATCAAACCTCTTGTAACACTTGAACGCTGAGTGCCCATACTTGCCGCAAATTTGACACGTTGGACGTTCTGAACTAGAGTCAGAGGAGTGGTTAATCTGCTGGTGAAACCCACGGCCTCGAGTAGAATAGCCACGACCCTTTCCACGAGATCCACGGCCATAACTCTGACCTCTTCCTTGATTGTATGAGTTACCATCAGCAGCAAACGCAAGGTGTGGAGTAACAGCAGCAGTGGCATTGTAGCCTTGAAGCTTATCATCAAAGTTAATCAGCTTATAACCTGCATCCTCAAAGCTTGGTCCAGGAAACAGATCCATTGAGTTTTCCAGATAGGTAGTTATGGATTCATACTCTTGACCCAATCCATGTAAAACCCCATAGATTTTTTCTTGATCAGTAAGAGGACACCCAATAGAATCAAGTTGATCACAAATAACTCTAGCATCAGACAAATATTGGGTCATAGTCTTTCCTTGCTTAGACAAGTTATTCAAACGCCTCTGTAGATCTAACTTTCTAGTTGCTGAAACACGATTAAACTTTTTGCCTAGGGTGAACCATACCTCCTGAGATGTGTGTAGACCGTAGACAGCGCGGAGAGCTTCTTCTGAAAGAGATCCAAAAAGCCAGGTAAGAACATTCTGGTCATTCCTTACCCATTTGAGAAACTCCGGATTTGGTGTCTCCGTCACCGTGTCGCCGTGTCTCACAGACGTAGTAGGGTTAGGTCGAGCAGTGGCTCCGGTTACATACCCCAAAAGCATCTGGCTTGAAAGAAAAGATTCAAACTGCGTCTTCCATAGAACATAGTTTGTCTCAGTGAGTTTTAGAGTCACACAGTGAGTGATGTTTACTACGGAAGGTAAAAAAGGAGTGATAGAGCCTTCCATGGCTCTGATACCATGAAGGTTTTCTCAGATTTAGAGAAAAGCTTGAAGAAGATGATAAAAGGATTTGCTTTCTTATTCAACTTAATCCAAAAG